CATTACGGGAGCAGAATACCGCTACCTACGTCGCATTGCACAAGTCTGATGTGGTAACCGGACAAGCAAAGGTTCGTTGAGGAGTTTTAGGAAATCGCGGTCGTCCACTGAAGCAAGTAGTCGACTTTCATAGATGACGCTGGTTGAGACATGTGCTACGCATGTCACCAGATAGGTTACCACGGCGAGCAATGTTCGCCGAGGTGGTTGGGAAAAGGTCAAGGGTGGTCCATGGGTCCATGGGGGTATGGAAACCCTAACCAGGAGACTGGGTCAAATAGGTCTTGCTAGGCTCCCTATATTGAGACCCCGAGAAGTCACGGTGATCGATTATTGGTTGTAAGAACAGAACAGATAGAGATACTGAGCGATATGGGTGGGAATCGAACATTGAACATATTAAAGGAAAAGACGCCAAATGAACAAATACGATGCCTTTCAAAACCCAATATGGAAGCCAAATGGTGGCAAAAAATGTATTTTAGTAACTCCATAATCAATGATTAGATGCACACTAATTTAAAATTAACCCATATCAGAAAACTTTGGCTTAGCTGTAGATGTTAAGACAGCCGCCCGTGTCGGTACAATAAGACCGACTTAATTGTAAGCGGATTTGTAAGTACTATAACTCGTGCTTCAACCACAATCGACAGCACCGCAGGTGGTTGGTAATGACACGCAATAACGCTGAAACTGACGGTAGCATTTTTCTCCGTCGTTAAACCGACCGGTTCAACGCTGAGTTACGGCAAGGTAATAATATTTTACGGTTTCAGTAAAATCATAATTTAAACAAACCAGAAAATACTCTGCAGTTTGATATCAATTAAAAATCTACTTACTTGTTGTGGCTCCATCATGAAATAAAAGTCGTCGTATTCATAAACGACATTTTCGGGTACATTCTTTCCAGAACTCATGTAACGAGCCGCCCAATGGGCATCAACAAGTTGCCAGGACCCCCGAATATATATTACATTCCATGAGTGATTGGCGGGAAGGCCGGAAAAGCGATCTCCCGGTAAATAATCCACTCCCTTAGCATATCCACTAACCGTAATGCAATGGATACCAGAGTAACTGTCGGGTGTACATAATTTCCACACCAAACAAATTACCTGCACATCACTTCAAATATTCTTGCAAAGGTTCCACGATTATATTTAAAGGATAACAGCACTTCCTCGGGGGAGTTCGGAGGTGCAGAAACAAACCTGATGTTCTGCATATCCTTTGAGGACATCCATCGAAAAATCACTCTGGCTCTCTCAAGTTCGTCTAACTTGTAACGATATACCAGATCCCACATTAGGTCCCTGAATGCTGGATGTTCGCAACTAGAGACCTGAAACAACCCATCAAACAGGAAGTACCATTACTTGAATTGCATGTTCATCAACTTTTGAAAACACCTCTGGTTTATCATACACCTGGTGCTTCAAGTACTTGGGTAGTTCGGGTGGTGGATGGTCCTCCGGAGATAGAGGTCGAGGGAGCTCAAACCCCTCGGGAGCATACATTGTTTATCTTCAAAGGGCGAAAACAACAGCAGCAATACTATTCAAACATCCCACAGAAGCTAAGGTCACCTTGTGACGGGTGCGATTAAACAAACAGTGACCTCAGTTCAGTTCAGTTCAATTTGCACAAGACAGGAGATGGCCAATCCAGCAGCCAGAGTTCTCTCGGTAGTAAGCCCACACGTTAAACACTACAATGGAAGTGTTCTATATTACGTTCGGTACGTTCGCGCGTGGTTTGAATTTTCGAATTGCTCCTGGTATTACAAAATTTGT